AAAGTAAAGAAGGAAGTGCAGGTGTGCTGAAAAGCGAACGCGGTAGACCCTTCACAAAAACTGCAAAACTGTGAAAGAAAGAAGAATACAGTAAAAGAAACAAGTTGTGTCACCTTCCCTTCGCCTATCGGTTTCCCTTCTCTGCTCCTCTCTTCCTTGTGTTTAACACCTCTCCCTTTACTCTGCCTTTTTCCCACAGTGTGCAAGTGGGCTGTTATGGCATACGGGGATGGGGGCAGCTCGCGCTCAACTTCATCAACGTGGCGAGCCTTGTACGTGAGAGGCGCAGTGGAGGAGTTAAGAAGACTGAGAAATTGAATGATTTCAATGTGTCTTTGTTTTTTATTTTTATCCTTTGTTCAGTGTAAAAACAATTATAAAACACTGAAAGAAATAAGAATACACTAAAACGAAGAAGAAGAAGACACTGTTTTGTGTCTTTCTGGTTTGTCTGTCCTTTCATTTTTTTTTTCTTCGCTCATCTTATTTCTTCTTCTACTTCACATGTTTGCGCTCTTAGTCAATAGTTCTGTGACAGTATATAGTTTTTATAACTTTTTAATACCAAACATCACATCACATTTCATAATAACAGGCTATAGTGGCAGAAAACATTTGAGGAAAAAGGAAAAGTGGAGGCAATGCTAAAGTAACGAGGAAAATTAAAAAAGAAAAAAAACATGGTTACGCCGGACCCGGACCCGGAGCGGATCGGACCCGAAACCGGACGTACGTCCGGAATGGTCCGGACGTCCGGACTTCCGGACATGACCCGGACCTTCCGGACATAGTGGACCTTCCGGACATAGCGGACGCGGACGGTCCGGGGAAAAAAAAAAAAAAAAACATGCCAGGGTGGGTGACAATGCGTACACAGCTCTGCCGAGGGTGCTGTCATTGAGGTGACTTGTGTCATACCTCTCACAGCACGACCAACACCCTGCACCCCTCTCCGCCTTGTCCTTCTTGACGTCCACTTCGTCTCTGTCAGTGAGATCCTCCCTCCTCTAAGCCGCCGTCGTCCTCCCTCCTCTGCGTCTCCTGCGTCATTGACTCCTCCCTCCTCCACGACTCCTCTCTCTCTCTGTCTGTCTGTCTGTCTGATGGCGACAACGACGGCGACCACTTGCACACGGCAGGAGCAGCCTCGACGACGGCGATGGGGCAAGTGCTGCAACGAGGACGTCAACAGCTCGTCGCATTCCAGCGGGGTGAATGGCGGGCGGGGGGAGTTTCGAAAGCATACCAGCGGGCTGAATGCCGGGTGGGGGGGGAGTTTCGATTCGAACAGACCTCGTTTCCCCCCACAAACAAGGCCACACCAAGACTGTGGAGTGAATGAAAAAAAAAATTTATAAACCTAAGAAGCGCATGTCCGGCCATGTCTGCAGAGGCCCAACGGGTCGAAAAATTACCCCACACAATTTTCTGGGGTCGGCCTCGACCCAACAAAGGGTCCAGTTCGACCCGTTAAAAAAAACAAAATCCTCTGGATTTGGCACCTTCCGGACCCTCCGGACCGTACGTCCGCGCGGACATGGTACTCCGGACTGTCTGGACCTCGGTCTGGACGTCCGGAACGTAACCATGAAAAAGTAGGAAAAATGTAAGCCATGGCGGAAAAAGGCTTCGGAAATCGCAACCGCGGCAGAAAATATCTGAGGAAAAGCAAAAAGAAAAAGGGGAGGAAAATGATAAAATAATGAGAAAATGCGAGTTATGGTGGAAGGAGATGGTGACACGTTTGCGTCCCCTTCAGGGACCAGCGCATGGTAAAGGCCAGCTGGCCTCTTACCTGCCAGCTGACAGTACCGTCTTCCCCTGGATAGAATGTATGGTCGTTATTTGTTAGACAGGTAGATGGGTAGCCTGACAAGTTGCAAGGTATGGCTGCCATCGGACGGTACAGCTTCCACTGAATAGAACGCACAGTCGTTATCGCTGTATGTAGACTGAAGTTGCCCAAAATACAGGCGTAATGAGGGTGCGTTGTATTCGGGGGAAGAGGGTCGTAGGCAATGCCACGCTGGATTTGGCCAAACGAGCAGTGGGGGATGAAAGAGACAACCAGCACCCAAATGACCAGCATAAACTGACGATACCATGGCAACTTGAGAGAGAGAGAGAGAGAGAGAGAGAGAGAGAGAGAGAGAGAGAGAGAGAGAGAGAGAGAAGGGGAACGAGCAGAGGGCAAGGTGGTGAAGGGGGAGGGACAAGCCGGAGGGACTGGGTAGAGAGAGGACTCCGATCAAGTACGGAGGAAGAGGAGGACTAGGTGGTTGTCTGTACACATCTATGCGTGTGACATGGAGAGAGATGGGGGAGAGTCAGTCGGTATGGGAGAGAAGGTCCACATCCATTTGCTTCTTTGGCTTTGCCATCCTGCCAGGAAATCGCCTTTTGCCTTCCCTATCACAAACTCCACCCCCCCTGTGGTTGTCGGTGTGATTTTTCTGACAAATTGGAAAAAAAAAAACACCTTCTGCCAAACTTAGGGTCGTGCCGGTTAGTGCTTTTTTGCTGCGCAGGGCGATGTGAGGCTCGACATCAATAGCTGGGAAAGGTACTGGTGGTTCAAGATTATTGGGTGTATCACTCTGCTAGATTGAGGGATGTCAATGAGATTATCGTGTTGGCATAGATGGAAGGAACTAGTTTGACTCGAGAGTTGAATCCACAAGAATCCAAAGAAAGCTGTTTATTGAACGGAATTTGAACCTTTTTTTTTTTTTTTTTTTTTGAAAAAACTCCCAGCGCCGTCTATTCTGAACCTTATCCCCTTCGTTTCTTTTTTTGTTTTTGTTTTTGTTTTGTTAACCCTTGATCCCCCTTCTTGTGCATGTGATTGTAGGACTGCCGACGCTGGGTGTCATTTTATTTGACAACCACTTATAACCCTCACGAAAGTGGAGCGCGCGCGCATGCGTAAAGGGTATTTAGCAAAACCTGATAGAAGGAGCTGCGAACAGATGCACCGCATTCTATAGCCGCCTCTAAAAAGCTTTCCTTAGTGAAACTTGTAATTTCGTGGTCCCATTCTGCACTGGCTGTCAAGCATCCAGTTTTGTTTGCACACCTCCGTGACCCTTTTGGTAGGACGTCGCATAGGAACTGTCTACCTTGAGACTTTCCCTTAGGCGGAAAGGACAGAAGGTTAGAATTTTACCTTCTCAAAAGTGGTATCTCAGTCCGTGACCCTCTTGGCAGGCCTATGCCGCATAGAAGCCGTCTGCCTTGAGACTTTTCCTTTTACGCCGAAGGGACAGAAAGTTAGAATTCTAGCTTCTCAAACCTGGTATCTCACTCCGTGACCCTTTTGGGAGGCCCACGCCGCATAGAAACTGCTACCTTGAGACTTTTCCTTAGGCGGAAAGGTTGCAGTTGAGCTAAGAATGCAACTCACCCAAAAGAGTCAATGCAGCTGCCACAACAAAACAAGCAGCTTATTTGATTTATGTATGCGCTCATCCACGTGTCCCCCTGGACGCGGCGGTGGGGTTAGTGTCTTATTGGCCGCCTGACCTGACGGTTGGTTGCCTGACAGAAGGTTAGCATTCTACCTTTTCCAAAGTGATAATCTCTCTGATGATGGCTACGCCGCATAGAAACTGCTACCTTGAGACTTTTCCTTAGGCGGAAAGGTTGCTCTATCCAGTTGAGCTAAGAATGCAACTCACCCAAAAAAGTCAACGCAGCCGCCACAACAAAACAAGCAGCTTATTTTATTTATGTATGCGCTCGTCCACGTGTCCCCCCGGACGTGGCGGTGGGGTTAGTGTCTTATTGGCCGCCTGACCTGACGGTTGGTTGCCCGACAGAAGGTTAGAATTCTACCTTCTCCAAAGTGATAATCTCTCTGATGATGGCTCCAGTCGCTCTGCGAAATAGACCTTCTTTTAAGCCTTTGACCTAATCTTGGGGGAATGGTGGTGCTAGTGAGAACTTTTTAAGAGGAGGTTGTTCCTCCGTCTGACTCTCTGCTTGAGAATGTTCCAAGGGTGTAAGCTTTGACTGTATAACCTCTGATTGGGAACAGACTGATGATTCACTTTTGGAAAAGGTTGTCGGTGTTTTTAGCCCTACCATCTGGCCGGATATTCATAGGTAATGCCCGGATGTGCTAGTGCTGGGCAGGCTCGGTTCTTCTCGTCTCCTTAGACCATTTCTCTATTTGTAGGTTTCATCCTTGTGCAGCAGGGGTGATGCTAGTCTTCCGTTAATTGTTCCAATTTGAACACTTGTCAAAAGAACTGGGTAGGTTGGTTTCTTGCTAGTGGAATTTATCTATTCGTAATTGGGACAGGGGTTGCGTAACTGCATCTTGCTTGCTACAGCCTCCCTGTTCCCATACGCCACCTAGCCGATTCTCACTGTCCAGTTTTTTGTTGAAACCACCAGTACATCTGGAGAAGTCCAATGAGCCTCCCCGGAAAGTTACGGGACTCGGGGCAAGGCCCGCCTGGGGGCGGGTGGTATTTTTTTCTCCGGTCAGGGCTGGGCCTGGAGCCCCTCCACGACATGGGACAATTTGTTTTTCTACTGGCCCTTTGGACGCCCTGTCCCGAGCCCCCGATATTTTTTAGGAGAGGCTCAATCGGATTCTCAACTTGGTTGGGGCCATGTACTGGTGGTTTAACATAACGAATATATACATATACATATCTCAGGTTTACCAATCTAATAGTCGAGGCTGGTTTTATCAATGCTTTGTGAGGAAGAGGAGAAGCAGTGGAAGTCAATTGAATGGCAAATGTAGACAATATAGTAAGACACACAGTCGTCTCGTGTGGGTGGTGGATGTTTCTGCATTATGCAGCCAATCCTGTCTCCTGGTGGCATTGCTGCTCGCTATGAAGGTGGCCATCCATGGATAAAGTCGAGTCCGGGAAGCCTTCTGCAAGGTGGCGCGGCTTGTTTGGTTTCTCCGGAATGCGCAGCCAGCTTGTCAATGTGCATATGTCTATGCTTTCTGTGAATGGCTGCTAGTTGAGGGCTATGTAGAGTGCCTGCAACCTGTAGACTGAGAGAGAGAGAGAGAGAGAGAGAGAGAGAGAGAGAGAGAGAGAGAGAGAGAGAGAGAGAGAGAGAGAGATGGACGGAGTTGCTCATGGGAGTGATAGGAAACTGGGAGAAGAGAGGCCTCCCCGTATCATGAATGTGAACATTGGAGTGTTAGGCCACATAGACAGTGGGAAGACTAGTTTGGTGCGTTCGCTAAGCACTCTTTTGTCTACTGCCTCTCTTGACAAGCATCCTCAGAGTATGGAGAGGGGCATTACCCTAGACCTTGGATTCTCTGCCTTCTTGACTGATGTACCGGCTCATCTTCCTTCTTTGCCCTATGACAAAGTCCAGTTCACTCTTGTGGATTGTCCCGGTCATGCATCTTTGATCCGCACGATCATGGGAGGTGCCCAGATCATCGACATGATGATTCTCGTAGTGGATATCACAAAGGGTATTCAGACGCAGACGGCCGAGTGTCTAGTCATTGGTGAGATTTCCCCTTGCCGCGACATGATTGTGGCCCTCAACAAGGTCGATTTGTTACCTGAAGCGGCCAGGACTCAGCAAGCGGAGAGAATGAAGAAGAGGTTGAGGGCCACATTCCAAGGGACAAAATTTGCTGGCTGTGATATGGTAGTTGTTGCTGCTCGGCCAGGAGGCCCGGACGGAGAAGCAGCAGGGCTTCAAACTCTAGGCATGGACGACTTGATGGCTTCCATGTCGCGCGCCATCAAAGATCAGCCCCCCATGTCCACTGCGAAGGACAATCAACTGCCGTTTTTGTTTGCCATTGACCACTGCTTCCCGATCAGAGGGCAGGGCACGGTCTTGACGGGCACCGTCCTGCAAGGAGCGGTTTCCGTCAACCAAATGATCGAACTGCCGCCGCTGAAGTTGCAGCGGAAGGTGAAGAGCATGCAGGTGTTTCATCGGCCTGTGTCTTCTGCACGCCAGGGGGACAGAGTGGGGCTCTGTGTCACACAGCTGGATTCAAAGCTCCTGGAGAGAGGTCTTGCTGCGGCGCCTGGCTCGGTCCCGATGCTGAGTGCGGCAGTTGCAAGCGTTCGGAAGATTCGCTTCTTCAAAGGAAGGATATCTTCAAAGGGGAAATTGCATATCACAGTGGGTCATTCAACTGTTATGGCAGACGTAATGTTCTTCACGGGCGAGGGGGAAGGTGGCACTGCCGGGACAGGGCACCATGCCCGTGGGATCTCACCCTTGCCACCTGAGGATGGCGGATGTGACTTTGACCTCAGCAGAGATTACCTCTATCAAGACGAACTTGCTGAGGACGAGAAAATGGGAAAACCAGATAAGACTGGTCCCACGGACCAGCGAACGGGTGCTAGCGCCTTGCATGGTTCTCAGCGCCATTGGGCTTTGCTGTTGTACGATTCACCGATCTATTGTCCGATCGGGTCCCTTCTGATAGGTTCTCGGCTTGACGCTGACATACATGTCAATCAGTGTAGGCTCGCCTTCCATGGCAATCTGGTGAAGGCTATCGATCCCGAAAAGAAGGAGACATTGCGGGTCTACAAGATGAAGACCAAGGAAGGCATGATCGAGAGGTTTGTCGACGAACATACAGTGATCGGCAAGGGAATGTTCAAAAAGGAGACGGATATGTCTTTATTCACAGGTATGCGGGTTGCGGCGGGCAGTGGAGACGTAGGAGTTATTCAAGGCTCCTTTGGGAAATCTGGAAAGTATAAGGTGGTTTTTTCATCTGGAAGCAATGTTAGAGCTGCTGTTGAGGGATGTCCCGCAGAGGAGCAGTTGCAGCGAAAAAAGCTTGTTCTGCATTTCAAGCGCTATATTTTTGACAAACAGAAGCGCATGTATCAGTCTTGATATGTGGGTTGTGACAGGCAGTTGAGACGTAGGAGTTTTATTCAAGGATCCTTTGGGAAATCTGGAAACTTCGAGGTGTTTTTTCCATCTGGAAGCGATGTTAGAGCTGCTCAAGAGGATGTTCGGCCGAGGAGCAGTTGCAGCAAAAAAAGCTTCTTCCGCATTTCAAGCGCTTTATTTTGGACAAACAGAAGCGCATGTATCAGTCTTGATATGCTGAAGGCGAGACTGATACACATGTGCTTCTGTTTGTGATAGAGTTAACCAGTGTGGAAGGAATTGGATGGGGTACCCACAGTTCTTTGGTCTTCAATCCTGTAGAGGATGATGCACTCAGTATGTGTGCATGTTCTTTTGTTGTGAAGATCCATCCATCATTGATTGTTGCAGTAAGTGAGTGCCACGCTAGTCGATAAGGAAGGAGCTACACGTGGTCCCACATGGGGTGGCACCCGCCACCTATGGACTCCAAGGTGTATTGGAACTTGTCTCGCTAAGGGAGGAAAACCATCAGCAGCTTGTGGCCCTGTGTGTAAAACGGCTATGGAAGCAGATCACATAGTTGTTTAGGCAAATAGGCTCAGAGCTCGTCTGTCGTAGCACACATTTTTAGCGACTGTGGCAGATGCGTATTGCATGAATTCAGCCCGTTCCGTATGTGTTGTCCCGTTTCCTCCACCCCTACCTGTAATTTGGACAGGTTTAGCTCTTCAGATCTCAAGCACTGGTCCCTTCCTGCCTTTTCCCTTTCCCTTCCCGATTCTCCTTGGTCCCTTGCAGTCTCGTCGAAGACCAGTGGTGTTGTATCTCGCAGCAGTGTCGCGGCTGTTTGGCACCTTTGTGGACTAGTGCACCTACCTTGTTTCTTACCTTTAGCCTTCGCGTACTCCAACCCCGTCTGCATGTGTTTGCGCTGTCCTCTGTACTCCAACCCTATTTGCATGTGTTTGCACTCTCCTCATGACTTCTGAAGATTGCCTATTCTCTTATTTTTGTTGCAGTCTTCTGCCACTGGTACCTTTCCTGCTGCTCCTGAGTACCGCCTCACTCTCCCGTCTGCCGCTGTGCTTGTCGACGTTTTCTCCCTATGCTCTTCCTTCTTCATCTCATGTATGTCATGGCGACAAGGATGGCATCAAGGTGAAAGGTGCTCCATCAATTCTCACAAGGTGATCAATTCTCCACAAATCAATGAGGAAGTTAGTTCCTCCGTAGCGAAGACATGATATGACAGCTGGCCCATGTTGGTGGACTGGTCCTCCAATCCACTAAGTCCAGATTCAGAACAAGCGCCGATAGTACGAGTCGTAGAGCAGCTAAGTCAACGATGTTTCAGCAACGGGATTCACATATTTGTTAGGAGGAATAGGCTACGGAAGAAAATCATGCGCGATTCACTCCCTTACTGCTGAGTAGGTAGGGGCCAATCAAGTATTTGAGAAATTTTGAGGTAAGACGCCAGCATTTGTGGCCAAGGAGTCTCGTGTTCATGCTTTGTGATGCCGGCACATGGTGCTCAGCAGATCTCCTGCACATGCTTGATGATGTCCTTGCCTTCGGGAATGGCTGCTTGGGGAGGTATGTTTCATCTGATGCTATTGTGGGCTTTATGGTACTGTGCCATTCATACAAAGGCTCTGTTACCTCCCCTGGCTATGTTATCTTTTCGTATGATATGGCTTCTATAGGCCTTATATCTTGCTGCCTGACATCAGTCTTTGACTCATGAATGCAATGGGCTGAAGAGGTACGATACTGTTTGCAGTGGAAAGGTACAAGATGGTTCTCGGTGTTGTTAATTACCACAATCAGTCTGTCGGTGACAACCCTCTCTCTCTCTCTCTCTCTCTCTCTCTCTCTCTCTCTCTCTCTCTCTCTCTCTCTCTCTCTCTCTCTCT